GACAAAGCAAAAAAAAATAATTAAACAGCAAATAAAAATTGGTTAAGGGAATTGGTGGATTCAAGTGAAAAGAGATTTATAACATTATCGATAAGTAGATAAAGAGATCTACATAGCAATTACAAATTAGGAAAACTTCTGATAAATGTAAATGAAGTTCACTTTGAGAAAACGAATATATTACTCAAATGGGACACCGTATAAAATCCAGCTTTGTAGACATCGTAGGCATTTTTGTTTCAATATTATGTCACGTTCTGGATGGCCGTAGTATTCAGATAATAAAGAATGTAATGTCGAAAACACTCTTGGGATGGAATTAGTGAGTTCCTGATAAATTTTAGCCCTAAACATCGAGTATATGATATTAGAATACATAACATGATATACGATTTTAGTAATAATTATGGCCATTACTTTCGCTCCCCAATTAAGTCTGCTCGTAAAACTTCCTCAGGAACAACAGTAAGAAATTCTAGGAGCGGTAACTCGAAGAATAAGGACTGGCCCTGATTTTGAGCAGCAATTACTCCAGAATGTAACATTTCGAAAAAGTCAGGTATAAAATTTGACCAAATATCTGGCACAGCTTGTATTGCATAAGCAGTGAGCTTTTAAACCGTGTGATAACTTTATTAGTGATCATCAGATTGTAAATTTAAATACAGGCTTTAATAAACCTAACTTACAGCCAGACAAAGCTTTGTAACAATAACATTAGGACCACCAGAAAGACGGACAATCCATCCAAGAAGCTCTGTGCGAATCCATTTCTTTCGATCAAGGGGCAAAGTATTCCTTTTCGCGCATTAAAATAATTAAATGATTATATAATTTTTCATATTATAAAAGAACATTAACATTTTTCACATCTGATGATACTATATCGCACCATGATTCTAATCAGTTATAATTCATACCAGTCTCTAGAAATTTTGACTTGTAAGATGTGAGCCCCAATGAATTGGGAATTAACTGACTAGAAATAAAAGCAAAATTTCGATGAGGATTTACAATGGATTTTTCACATCTTTACACGTCAAAATAACGATCGAAACAGAAATAGCGCTGGTTGACCTGGGAGGCTAATAGTTGAGGAGCCAAATCCCAAGCATACTGCTGCTTTTGAAGATTTTGTATGTACTCTTGTGCTGATTTTTGGAAGTGTGGATCAACGCTTTCATAAAGTTGAACTATTATCTTATAAAGGTTCGGGCTGTAAGGGTCCAAAACTGAAAAGATTATAGTGAAGAAAGTAAATTAAATTAAAAAAGTTGGTAAATACTTGCTCAACTTGCGAGACAGATGTAATTGTTTACATAGAGATGATGTTAATGTTTGCAGGATATCCGGGCTATTTCGGCCAAGATCAAGAGATATCTTTTTTTTTTTTTTTTTTTTTGTTATTTTTTCTTCCTAGAATTTTAAGTCAGTGTACCTCCTTAACGACCAATCCTACATTAGTGAGATGCCATTGCAATTTTGGTATCTACTACAGGAACCCTTATTTGACCCAGATATCATTCCAGTTAATAATGCTGATAATGATACTGTCAGCGGGGAGGACGCGGTTACATCAAATTTACATATTACACAGGATGAAGCTCGAAAAATACATGAAACGTCCTTAATTGTGTTTCGAAGATTAATTGAGATTTTAAGAAGCAAAATCCAATATCCACCAGACACAGAGTGGTCCGAATGGACTAAAGGTATGCGATTCAAATATTGAATTGGTTCTTAATTTACAATAATAACAATAACTAACGCAATCAAATAGATGTAAAAGAACAGTTTAAAATATATAGAAGAGACGTCGGAGACACGGTTATGAATTCATATTATATATTGCGGGATCAAATGTTAGCATTCTTTGTAGATCTCGCAATTACGCAATTGAATTCACCGGGAAGAAATCCAAGTCAGTGGCAGGTATATATCACAAATGTACTGCTTGTTTATTTATTATTAATTATTGACGGAGTTTTTATTTTAGGATCTAGAATCAACGTTATTTTGCATCAAGTCTATAGCTGAAGCCGTAGACAATAATGAAAATGTATACTTGCCACGTTTATTCGGCGCAGAAGTATATGGAATGCTGCCTTTGCAGGGGCATATGCGACTAAGGAACACAGCTCTCTCTCTTATCGGTAATTTAGATAGAATACTTTGTTATATTTTGTAATCTCAGTTCTAGACTCATCGTAGGTTCTTGATTGAAGGTTCTTATGCTGATTGGTTTAAATCTCATCCCCAATACATATTATCGGCTCTTAATTACCTTATACCTGCACTAAGCGACGCAGAGTTGGCTTTTTCAGCTGCCATGTCATTCAAAGAAGTGTGCGACGCATGCCGTGATTCATTAGTCGGTGACATAGATAATCTTGTTAACATGTATATGGTTGTTGGCCCACATATTCAAGTATGTATATGTGCATATTCTGTTAAT